CAAACAGGTCTGTATTACCGAGAATATGAATAATGTCAGTTTCCGTAATTGCTAACATCTGGCTTTCCATAAATCTGTTAAATTGCATGGAAGCAGAATTAGATGTCTCTGTCATAAGTAAAGCAATTACATGGCACTCCATAGGCAATGTGGTCCTATCTTCAACTGTGAAATCCTTTTATTCTGGAGCGACAAAAGCAAATCCAGGTTTTGCACCTTGTCTTCAGTGCACACACTAGGTGTGTTCATTTTTGTGCTCAGGAGTCTTCATTTATGAGAGGAAAACACTACCAATAGGTTTGTAACTTTGTGATGCAAAATAGCCAAATGTTGAAAAAGCATATTATAGTTGGGCATTAATTGCCAATTTAGAGATTTCAGAGGAGACCATAAATTAAATATCCTTTAGTAGCCACTGTTTGTGGGTCTGTTGAAATTACCCTTCCAGATAATTTGTTTAGTGCTTTGTTAATGGGCCTTCCTCTGTATTTATCTTGCAGCATTTGACAAGAAATGGAGTGGGGAAGGGGCGGGGGGGAGGGTGCCTTGCTATTTCAGTGGGGTTTCTATTTAGTTGTATTTATCATACTCTGAACCAGACCTTATAACTTTTCCCGATGAAAACTTAACAGTTAAATGTATTCCCTGAAGAAGAGGGTTGTGGTTATTTCTTAGCCTTATTGACCAACCCAGAGAACAAATTTGGCAAAGTAGGCTCTACAATAGTATCACTCTGTACATTTCCTGAATTTAAGTAATTTAAAGAAATACACTGATCATCCTCAGTGCATTGTGTTGTACTTGGCAATGAGAAGAGAAAAACAAAAATATTTAGTCTCTGCACTCAACGAGCTCATTAGTTATCTATGGAGATGGAGATATTAAACGTGTAACTCCTAAGAGATAAATGCAAGAACAGCATGTGGTTGAGGTACAGAGAAAGCAAATGTTAACAGTCACTGTCCTGCACAGTGAGGGGTTGTGCTATTTGGTCCCGGTTTTGATGAGTACATGGGAGTGAAGGTAGCATAGGAATGGAAGCGCTTACCTTCCCTAGCAATTAACTTGTACTCCACCCCATTCCACACAGGGCGAGAAAAAGCAGAGATGGGGAAGGGGAGAGTAGTCACGTAATATGAAAAGCACGTACTGAGTCGCAGATGGAGCAAACATCATCTGCGTATCACCCGTTGCTTGTGAGTGGGAAGGGGAAGAGACAGAGGGTAACAACTGAGTTGTAAGATTAGGGCTTATATGACGTGCTAGGAGTTGGAGCCTTTTCTTATCAGGACCAGAGAACCACTGGGAGGTGCTAAGCAAAGGAGTGACCTGGACACATTTGCTTTTAGAACAAACACCACTCCCCCATGGAAGGTGTTTGGAGCGATAATTCTCATCTGGCCAAACGGAGCCCAGATGTTTGCATCCTACTTTACACCAATTAAATGATTCTCTAGTGGTGGGGTCCTGGCCACCAGTACTTTTTATTTTATTTATTTATTTATTTATCCTCACTCGAGGACATTTTTCCATTTTTTTGTTCAGATAGAGTGGAAGGGAGAGAAAGGAAGAGAGAGAGAAATATCGATGTGAAAGGGACACATCAAGTGGTTGCCACCCGCACGACCCAACCAGGGCCAGGGACAAACCGCAACCGAGGCACGTGCCCTTAGCGGGAACCGAGACCAGGTCTCTCTGGGCTGCAGGCTGATGCTCCAACCACTGAGCCAAACCGGCCAGGGCCCACCAGTACTTTTTAAAGGTTCTCTAAATGTTTTTTGTTTTAATTGGACCCACAATTGAAACTCATTGAACTGGAGTGGAAGTGGCTAAAGTCTGGGAGACCAGAGGGAGGCTAACACAATAGTCCCAGTGATGAGTGTGAAGATCTGCGCTAACAGAGAATTTGAAGGAACCTGAATTTTCTTTTATTATGATTATATATGTGATGAGACATTGGTCTAGATATCAATTTGCTCTCTATCTATATCGCATAGATATATAAACTCAATTATAAATGTGATGAGAGAAGTGTAAGATTGAATATTTTAATTGCTACTTTCTGTGAAAAGTGGGGAGTGAGAATAACGCAAATGTATCACTTTAGTCTTGTTTCACTTACTGTCATCACAATGGGAATCCAGAAGACATGAACGGTTACTATGAATTGGCACCATATTGGGAGAAACTTAGCTGAGAAGGTGGGGCTTGAAGTCTGTCTTAAATATTTCCATTTATTAAATCAAGAAACAAGATTTACTGAGTCTTTGTTATCTATATTTTTATCTTCAAATGACCATAGATTAAGTGGATATGGTTTTATACAAGAGATAAATGAGGGTCAGAGGCTAAATAATATGATCAAGAACACATAGTGTAATATGTCAAACGACCCATATCTACTATGCACTCAGTTAAATGGAAGATCTTGCTTTCAAATATGGGTCGCCTGACTCTCACATTCAATGCCACTTATAGTTCGGAAGATTCAGAGGCGAGGAAGAAAATGGAGGAGATGAGAGCGGTCTCAGGCCGGCGCATCGGGGCTAAAAGGTGCTGGGAATGACCCGGGCAGCCCCAGGAACAGTGAGGAAGTCACTGACCTGGAACCTAGGCATCTTAATTTGGGATTACTCCCGCAGTTTTCAAAGGAGGAGTCATTATTCATTAACTGACTTAGCTGAGGCTACAGTTGGTGGGACAATGACAAAAAGTCAACCCTAGAATGAATTAGCTTCCAGAGATATCAGTGGAATTCCTTAACATCTTCACTCCTGGGAGGCCACGTTTTATGCCAATGCCGTGCATGCGTTCAGGCAAGACGGGTCCTTTATCTCTCGTTTCTCAGTCACAGTCATTTCAGAATTCGGGCAAACTTTGACTAATTATATCAGTCTCAAAATTTTAACAAAAAATACTGAAGAGGATTCACGTAGGATCTTATCCTTGGAAGTGAGTTGCAATGTCTAGACTCTAGAGGGTAAATGTCTGGAAGTAGATAAAACCACAGAACATTCTAGTGCACAGAAAGGTGGCACAGCCCTTTGGGCCTTGAGTGGGCACAGTGGGCAGAGCTCCAGTGCATCTGTCCGAAAGCCCAGGACAGTCCTTGCTCTAACATGGACCAGCTGTGTGACCACTTACCTGTCTCTGAACGGTAGTTTCTTCTTTTGTAAAATGAGAAGAACTATTTTCATCTTGCAGTTCTGTGGCATAATTCAAGAGAAAGCGCTTCAGAGACTTTGAAATATAATATAAGGTAGTAGCAGTAAAGTTGATATTATGCTTTTGAGCATTTTATTTCTTTGAGCACTTTAGGTGGAAATGCCAGTGACAATTATATTTTTTTCTTTAGTCCGTAATCCTTAACCAAGTGCTTGCAAACTTATACATATTTAACACGGAATTTAGTTAGTATCAATTTATTTAACCTGTTCTTATTCTAACGTGTGTTTCTCCTCATCACCTTCACGAGGACACTGTCTTACATGCACCTCGTATGCAAAGAACCTTGTTCACAGCAAACTTCTGGTAAACATTGATTGGAATCGGCTTTGTCATCTGAAGGATATTTAAAAGGCATGGCAGTAGATCGATCAGTGGAGTAGAATACTCTGATAGACGAATGTCCAGTGTCATCAAGTAGCATAAAGATTGTCATACATAAGGAAACTCAAGCAGACTTTTCTTCTTCTTTCTTTCTTTTTTTTTTGTTAATCCTCACCTGAGGACATTTTTCCATTGATTTTTATTTTTTAAAGAGAGTGGAAGGGCAGGAAGGAGAAAGAGAGAGAGAGAGAGAGAGAGATGAGAGACAGAGAGAGAGATGAGAGACACATCAATTAGTTGCCTCCCTCAAGACCCTGACAGGCATCAGGGATCGAACCTCCAATCCAGGTATGTGCCCTTGACCGGAATCAAACACACAACCCTTTGGTCTATGGGCCGACACTCCAACCTCTAAGCCAAGCCGGCTAGGGCCAAGCAGACTTTTCTTGAGTGGTTTCAGAACTAGTACCAAGAAGTGGAAGCTACCGGTTAACATATTTCATTTCAATTGAAGGAATACATTTGTAAGAGTAATTCCGTGATGAAACTGGCTGCCTTGAGAGCTAACAGACCACCCACTGGGGCTTGACAGCTGTGTCTGGATTGTTGTTAAAGTCACTTGAACTTTGACTGTTGGGGAGGGCTGATTGGATTTATGTTTTCTTCCCATACTTGGGTATCAATGAAAAACAGCAAAAGAAATGTGTGTCTTTCGTCAACATCCATGCCATACCCTACTGCAGCTCTGAGATGTTTACTTATGTGCGATTATAAAGATACCCTAACAATTTTGAGAGAGAGAGAGAGAGAGAGAGAGAGAGAGAGAGAGAGAGAGGAGGGAGAGGAGGTCTGGTAGAAATGCTGCTGGCCATTAGGATGGTGAAGCTTGATTCAGAAAGCACCTCCTAAGAACTATCCCCTCTTCTTCCACCCTTGGCCCCAGGATCTGCGAGCAGACTGATCAGGGTCCCCCTAATTACCCACTTCTTCCTACTCTGCAGTGATCTATTCACACCTTTTCTAAAAGCCCCAGACCTCCCTAGGGTGTATCGATACTGTTAGTGAATTAGCAGTACTTACGTTCTCTAGCTGGTACAGTTTGTGAGAATATCCTAAACTTAACACAGAGCTGCTCCTGGATAATTTAGTAATTGAAGTGCAACAGTTGCGAGTTTGAATCTCAGACCTGCCACTTATTAGCTCTGTGACAGCGGGCATGATAATGAACGTCTATGATTAGCCTCAGCTCCATTATTAGCAAAACAGAGATAAGAACAGAGCCTCCACCCCAAAGCTACCTTGCAGAGTAAATGAGGTTATGCATGTGAACAGTTTGGCGGAGTACCTGGCACAAGGTAAATGCTCTGTGATGTTAACTAACGCTGTTGTAAATGATTATTATTTTCTAATAATTGGCTAGATTCCAAAGCTCTGTGTTTTCTGTACCGCAGATATTGATGAATGTGCCTTACGAACACACACCTGTTGGAATGATTCTGCCTGTATCAACTTGGCGGGGGGCTTCGACTGCCTCTGTCCCTCTGGGCCCTCCTGCTCTGGCGACTGCCCCCACGAGGGAGGACTGAAGCGCAACGGGCAGGTGTGGACCCTGAAAGAAGACAGGTGTTCTGTCTGTTCCTGCAAGGTAAGAGTGACGCAGTCCTGCAGAACCTTAATCATCCTCTCTTCCTCCCCACCTCCTTCCCCCAGCCTGTGGCCTCAGGGGTGTCCTGTGGTTTCCGAAAAGGCTTCTGTTCCAATGCCTGCCACAGCTAATGATGATGCTGCGTGGCGGGCACCCCTGCTGTTAGTGAAAAGTGAGGTGTGGGCTTGAGAAGCAACTGTAGAGCCCAGGGGACACGGGCAGAGAAGCCACTTAGTCCTCCCACTGAGTCTGCCGGTGTCTTTAGGTTGGTTGGGTGAGCGCTTTAATGAGTCCTCATCCCACACTCATCCAAACTTGCTAATTAAAACTACCCTCTGCCTGAAATGGTCACCTGTATGAACTTGCTTCCTTTTGTGGTGACATCATCCAGAAAAGCAAGGCTCAGAGACCTGCCTCCAGTGGTCAGAGACAGGCCAACCTCCATTCTGAACAAATGGTAATGATAATAAAGAGGCCTTCTGGTAAATGTTGTTCCCGGTGCCAGGCTGTCCCTTACGTTAAGTTGTTCAGGAATGAGTTTAATGCTTCTGGAAATAAAATTCTGTCATCGACTGGTTTTGCTTTATGCTTTGCAAAATGAGCCTCTCAAAGTGTTTAGTTTCCGTGTGCTTTATTTCAACTTTTGTTGATCTTGCCTATTCATTTCCCTTTGATAGCGCTTTGCTATAGCTCTCGCATTGCATTGTTATGGCTTTTGGGATGAGACTGTTTAATCTTGGACTTTATGGGCATGGGAACCACAAGAAATTACTTGCCGAGTAGCCTCTTAAAGAGAAATGCAGAGTGCTCTCTAGAAACAGTTGAAATGGACCTTGAAAATTTCCAGTTCATTTACCTGCCTTCCAGTCTGCCAGACCGCCAACACCTGGGTGCACCTGGTTAGGAGGGCTGCATTATCAAGTCTTTAGATCATTACCCCACCACATCCTTTTGCCCCTTATACATAAACATAGTTGAACACATCCAAACTGAGGTCCATCGCCCCCGTTTATGGAGTACCTCCCATGTCCCAAGTATCCCGTAAATTTAAAACGGCATCCCGTTTAGTACAGTTCAGCTTCGAAGATGAAGAAACCGCGTTTCTAAGCGTTAGGGCAAGGAATGTGTCCTAAGTATCACAAGATGTAAATGTTTAAGCTGGGATTTGAATTCCACTCGCTTGCCCAAATTTCATAGTTTTCTCATCTTACCACATGTCCTGTAACACTCTGCAGACGCCATCTGTTGATATGGTGGTTATATGTGAAACTAGTTAAGAAATCAGTCTATCCAACCTGCCCAAGCTCAGACTTCGCCTCAGTACCGTGTGAATGACCGTGTGGGACATCCCTTGGAGAAGTTTGCAGGTTACTAAGTACACTGCTTACCATGTGGCCCTGACTCAAAGGGGGCAGGCTTTTAAGAGGAGGAGAGCTTGCCGTGAGTTGGAACAGTGGAGGAGGGCTGGCGGAAGGGGTCGGCAGTTAGGTCTCCAGACAGCAAGCAAAATGTGGAAATGTTATTTGCTGGTTCTCTTTTAGAAAATAGTATTTTTCTAAACTTTGGAGGATGATCACAACCAGATCCCATATTTATTTTAGGTTGTCTGGATCCTCAGGCCCTGGAACAGGCAAACATTTTTAGTTGAGTCTTGACTAGGATAAAACCAAAATTGGCTTTTCAGTTTTTGTTTTATTTAGGCCCATGATAAAGCATGGAACTTACCAATCATTTCCAATTTCCCAAAGCTTCACTAACTGTGCTCACAGTCCAAGCAGCCTAGGTGGATTTATTCTACTTTCACTCATAAAGTTTCTCTAGAGTCTTTTCTTTTTTTTCTTTTCTTTAGAGTCTTAAGAGAATTAGACGGAAGTTGCTGCAGGAGATAAACAGGACCCTTAATCTTACTTGGTAATTTTTTTTTTATCCTCACCCGAGGACATTTTTTCTTTTTTTTTGTTCAGATAGAGTAGGAGGGAGAGAGAGGGGAAGAGAGAGAGAGAGAGAACATCGACATGAAAGAGTGGCTGCCACCCACACAACCCAACCAGGGCTGGGGACAAACTGCAACCGTGGTACATGCCCTTAGCGGGAACCGAACCCGGGTCTCTCTGGACCTCAGGCCGATGCTCTAACCACTGAGAAAAACTGTCCAGGGCAATCTTACTTTGTTAATTATAATGTACCTCCACCACCCCTTTATGAATAAAGTACTAGGCATATTTCTTTACATACTTTTTTTTTCCCAATTGTATTTATTAGTCATTAACAGCATATCTCCCAAGAGGTTGTGGATGAAGAAGGTCTTATTTCAGGAGTTAAATACAGACCCCTGAATCAAATTCTGTAAAGAATCCTCAAAAAAAGTTTGTTTGTGACCCTCCTTGTTTCTTTCCATTATTTGTAGTTGAAAGTGTTCCATTCTGATTTTAAAAAGCTTCTTTTTCAATTACAGTTGATATACAATACTATATTAGATTCAGGTGTATCACACAGTGATTAGGCATTTATATAACTTATGAAATGATCAGCCTGCTAAGTCTAGAACCCATCTGACACCATACAGAGTTATTGCAGTATTACTGATTATACTCTGTGTGCTGTATATTAAATTCCTGTGGTTATTTTTACAACTGGCTTCTTATTTCTCAATCCCTTCCCCTTTTCACCCATGCCCCCCTCCCACCTGGCAACCATCTGTTTTGTTTGTTTGTTTATATTGTTTTTTAGATTCAAATAATGTAAGTCAAATAATGTTATTTGTCTTTCTTTCTCTGTCTGATTTATTTCATTTAGCATAATACCCTCTAGGTCCATCCATGTTGTCACAAATAGCAAGATTTTATTCCATTGTATACATGTACTATTACTTCTTTATCCAGCCGTCTAATGATAGACACTTGGGTTGCTTCCATATTTTGGCTATTGTAAATAATGCTACAGTGAACATAGGGGTGCGCCTATCTTTTTAATTAGTGTTTTGGATTTCTTCAAATACCCAGAAGTGGAATTGCTAGGTCACATGGTGGTTCTACTTTTAATTGTTTGAAGAATCTCCATACTGGTTTTCATAGTGGCTGTACCAATGCACAGTACCACCCATAGTGCCCGCGTGTTCCCTTTGCTCCACATCACCAACACTTCTTTCTTCATTTATTGATGACAAACATTCTAACACATGTGAGGTAATATCTCATTTTGGTTTTAATTTGCATGTATTTCCATGATGATTAGTGACATTGAGAATCTTTTTTTTTTTTCTAATCCTCACCTGAGGATATTTCTCTATTTATCTTCAGATAGAGTGGGAGGGAGGGAGGGAAAGAGAGGGAGAGAAACATCAATGTGAGAGGGACACATCGACTGGTTGCCTCCCACATGACCCCCACCAGGGCCTGAAACAAACCACAACAGAGGTACATGTCCTTGATCAGATTCAAACACGCAACTCATTGGTCCATGGGCCGGTGCTCTAACCGCTGAGCTAAACAAGCCAGGGCAAGAATCTTTTAATTTCTATTGGCCATTTCTATGCCCACTTTAGGAAATTTGTATTCAAGGCCTCTGCCCATTTTTTATTGGGATTTTTTTTTTTTTCTGGTGTTAAGTTGTATGTGTTCCTTATATATTTTGGATATTAACCCCTTATTGAATATATTGTTGGTGAATAAATTCAGTAGGATTTTTATTTTGTTTTGTTGGTGGTTTCCTTCACTATGTAAAAACTTTTTAGTTTCATGTAGTCCCATTTGTTTATTTTTTCTTTTGTTCCCCTTGCCCATGGAGACATATCTAAAAAATATATTGCTGAGAGCGATGTCAAAGAGTTTACTGCCAATGCTGTCATTTAAGAGTGTTATAGTGTTAGGCTTTACATTTAAATCTTTAGTCCATTTGAGTTTATTCATGTATATGGTATAAGAAAGTTATGCACTTTTATTCTTTAGCATTTATCTGTCCAGTTTTCTCAGCATCATTTATTGAAGAGACTTTCTTTACCCCAGTATATATTCTTGTTTTCCTTTTTCATAGATTTATTGACTCTAGAGGCATGGGTTTATTTTCTGCCTTCTCTATTCTGTTGCATTGATCTATGGATCTGTTTTTATACCAGTACTATGCTGTTTTGACTACTGTAGACTTGTAGTAGCTTGATATCAGGTGGTGTGCTACCTCCAACTTTATTCTTTTTTTTCTCAAGATTGCTTTGGGTAATTGGGGTCCTTTATGGTTCCATATAGTGTTTAGGATTATTTGTTCTAGTTCAGTGAAAAATGCCATTCATATCTTGACAAGGATTTTATTGAATCTGCATTGCTTTGGGTCAGAGTTATCGTTCTCTTCAAATTTTTTTCTTCCTCATTCAGCTTTGAAATATTGGTATGTTTCTAGACATGTATTCATTTTTCCAGGTTTTTCAGTTTATTGGCATATAATTGTTTGTGGTGTTTCCTCAAAATCCTTTGTATTTCTGTGGTGTCAGTAGTCAATTCTTTTTTATTTCTAATTTTATTTACTTTGTCCCTCTTTTTTTTTTAATGAGTCTGACTAAAGGTTTATCAATTTTCTTTATTTTTTTAAAGAATGAACTCTTGGTTTCATTGATTATTTCTATTGTTTTATTTTGACTTTTTTATTTTTGCTGATCTTATTGCTTCTTTTCTTCTGCTCACTTTGGGCTTTGTTCTTCTTTCTGTAGTTCTTTGGTGTATATTTGAGATTTTTCTTTTTTTCTTGAAGTAGGCCCCTATTGTGATAAATTTTTCTTTCTTTTGCTGTGTCCCATGGATTTGGAGTTGTGTTTTCATTTTCGTTTGTCTCGAGGTATCTTTTTTTTTTTCCTCACCCGAGGACATTTTTCCATTTTTTGTACAGACAGAGTGGGAGGTAGAGAGAGGAAGGGAGAGAGAGAGAGAAACATCAACGCGAAGGGACACATCGAGTGGCTGCCACCCGCACGACCAACCAGGGCCGGGGACAAACTGCAACCGAAGTACGTG